GATCAGACATGACAGGAAGTGAAGTGGGAGAAAGAGAGGAGGGGGGCAGGATCAGGAAGGTCCTCAAGTCGGGATTCGAACACAAGACATCCAAAGCACAATGGCACTATATGTCAGCGCTCTGCCCACAAGGCTATCGGTGCCAACACGTGTTTTATTTTTTATGATTATTTGCGAATCGTGTTTGCTCTTCCACAGAAGAGAGGGGCGGGGTGAGCAAAGCTCATTAGCATGTAAAGAGATATGCACCAAAACGAGTCGCTGTGTGTGTGTGTGCACTTGGATGGGTTAAATGCAGAGCACAGATTCCGAGTATGGGTCGCCATACTTGGCCACACGTCACTTCACTTCACTTTCACTAAATTTGTTTATGTCTGGCTACTCAAATCATTTCACTCCTGACTGCTTTCTGAATGAGAGACAATTCAAGGCAGGTTTTGTTAAAAAGTTAAAAAGTTAAAACTCAAGGATGGATCAGTACCCATTGTTCATGATCCAGCTGTACCTCCAGAAGAAGTAAGTCTCACACTTTTTATTTATTTATGGTGTTATTTATTTACTTAAGGTTATTTATGACCTTCCTTTATTGTGATCAGACATGACAGGAAGTGAAGTGGGAGAAAGAGAGGAGGGGGGCAGGATCAGGAAGGTCCTCAAGTCGGGATTCGAACACAAGACATCCAAAGCACAATGGCACTATATGTCAGCGCTCTGCCCACAAGGCTATCGGTGCCAACACGTGTTTAATTTTTTATGATTATTTGCGAATCGTGTTTGCTCTTCCACAGAAGAGAGGGGCGGGGTGAGCAAAGCTCATTAGCATGTAAAGAGATATGCACCAAAACGAGTCGCTGTGAACAGAGGTGTTTTTGACAAGGTAAAAAGGGTTTTGTTTTACACGACCACTGAGACCATTTCAAGAATACCCTAAAGAATCATACCAACTTGTGGAAAATGGGCATCCGATGTCCCCTTTGAAGCACTCATTAGCATGTAAAGAGAAATGCACCGAAACGAGTCGCTGTGAACAGCTGTTTTAGACAAGGTTTACACGAAACACTGAGACCATTTCACGAATACCCTAGAGAATCATACCAACTTGTGGAAAATGGGCATCCGATGTCCCCTTTGAAGCACAGCCGCCACAAAATCAGACTATATATATATATATACTTATATATTTTTTTTTTCATCAACCTTTACACCATTCTTCAGTGTCACATAATCCTTCAGAAATCATTCCAATATGTTGATTTACTATCAATGATGTTCTTTTTAGATTTCTATTAATCAAAGAATCCTAAAAAAAATGTCACAGGTTCCAAAAATTATTAAGCAGCAAAACTGTTGCCAGCACTAGTATTAAATCAATATATTAGAATGATTTCTGAAGGATCATATGACTCTGAAAACTGGAGTAACAGCCGATGAAAATTCTGATTTGCATCACTGAATTAAATTATATTTTAAAGTATATTAATTATGTATTATATATGTATAAATAACCTCTGACACGGAGAAGAGTGAAAACTCCTCACATGACCGCTAAGTTACCGAACATCTGTACATAATGAACCAAATGCACATAGACGGATCTTCTTCTGTCTGTTCTGCAAAATGTAAACAAATGTATATTTCTGCAAGCGTAAATATTGTGGAAATATCAATATTAATTGTGTCTAGGCAAAGGCATTCCTCCTGGAACAGAGCTAACGCACATTTGGAGGGTATTCATCAGTGGTGGACGAAGTACACAAATCAAGTACTCGAGTAAAAGTATAGATCCGTATAATAAAATATTACTCTAGTAAAAGTACTCAGTTTTCAATTTTACTCGAGTGAAAGTACAAAACTACTTGATTTTTTATGCGCCCGCGAGCATACCTACGCATGTGAAGTGCAAACGCCGAGGTGGGTCTGACTCCGGGCTACTTTTAAACTGTTGCTGCGGGTTATAATGCAAGTTAGTGGTTCTAAATTCACATTAAACCACAGCTTCATGTTTTTTTTGCTTTAATTTATTTTTGGTTTTGTGCTTGTATTGGTATATTTTGCATGCTTGTGATAGGAATCGATCCCTTGACGTGATTGGTTATTGGTTTGTGACGTAGCAAACCGAGGGCTTTTTGTGTTATTTTGACGTGCAAAACTGAAATTGCACGTCAAAATAAAACATTGTCAATATTTTTTGAGACCCCCCAAAATTTCACAAATCCCGTTTTCAGGGGAGCCCATGTCTTATTAAGGGGAGCCGAGCTCCCCCGTAGTTCGCAGCCTGCACCCATCCCAAGCCAGTAATGATCAACTTCCCACCCTCCTGTGACCCATGGTTTGTCTGTATGTGTAGTCAGAGTCAGTGAGCAACGGACTTTCATAATAATAAAAAAACGCATTAACTTGCCCAGCTTTAATATATATACACACACACACACACACGGACATTTATGTGCAATGTGTGTATATTTTCAAATGTATATTATTGTTCCCCACTTGAGTTTGTAAATTGATATTGTTCAATAACAAATAATAATAAAAAAGGTTATGTTTAGTGTTAGGGTGTGGTATATATATATATATATATATATATATATATATATATATTATAGGAGTGTTTAGCATGATAATCTACCTCTTTAACAGTGTAAATAAGTCAGAATGCATGGAATAGCATTAGATCTGAAACAATTACTTGATACTCAAGACACATGCAAACACATTTCAATTCCAGCACCTGCATGTTTATTACTTCATTCCCTCGTTCCAAAGTCTGTGGCCGACTGGCTTTTTAAAGGCCTGAGAGACTCTCATTAATGTATGAAAAACACAGACACAAAATAAAAGCAGTACCATTACATTGATCAGATAAGGGATAACTGCTGCTAATTCAATACAGTTTCTAAATAAAATGACAAGCATTGTTTTTCTCCATATATCACTAATGTTGTAATCACAGTAAAGAGATATAACTGAACTCCTGCATCACTGGAAAAGGTAAAATATTAATGAAATCAACTCATTTCAGATAAACCTCGTCCCTAAAACTAACCCCCAAAATTACTCACAACAATACTAATCAAATCTCTGCACACATAGTAAAAGAAATAATATAATGTAAAATTATTAATTAATTTATCATTCCCCAAACAAACCTATTAATGTATAATGTACTGTAATATATGTATGTATATACCCATCATCCAGCACCACACTGTAGGAATTACAAACACAAGCAACAAGCAAATAGAGCTGCTTAAGCAATAATATAAATCTGTCTTTATACACAAATGTCCTACTGTATTTGTGAAGAAAGAACTAAAACATTTTCTGATTCTATTTATGCTAAGTGATTAAACGAATTATTGCAAATTCAGTGTATAACTTAATATTTGACTAAAAAGCATCCAAGTAAAAATGTTTGGGCCACACAGTAAACCATGCATTAGTCATCAAATCATTTTTTTTTTTTGGAATTACAGATTAAGTTGATGCTGGTGATCTTTAGCAGAATGTCTGATCTGCTTTATGGTGAATATAGCTGTCAAGAATTAAATTCAAAGTGTTATGGCCAATAGTACACCATCATACTTTGAGTTATTATTATTTTTAATTAATAACTAATGAATGAATGACTGGTTCAAATTTTAACAGAAGTCTTGGAATACATTATTTTTGGTGCTTTTTTGTCATTTTGGAGCTTTCATAAGATGAAAAAGAATAGTGATCATTCTGAAAATCATTTGTGCTTAAAGAAGTGAGCTACATTTTTAAATCCACACTTTATAAAAAAAGGCACTGCTAAATGCTTGATTTTGGTCTGGCTGCCCAATATCACCTAAAAGAAGTACAAATATATTAATATCAGCTCACTAAGTCCAGCAGCACAAAATAAGGACTTTGCTTTCAAATGCTCCAGAGTTGGGCTTACAGAGATTTAGATGGGCATTTTATAGAATTAGAGTCCAAAGTTTGATTTGCGCCACTCCTTAAAGCACTTATCAGCCTCCTCCATCCTGTTCTTATTAGGTTTGTCCCAGTACACCCTAACAAGCTCTTCAGTGAAGGTCTCTGGCAGGAAACTAGACAGCTGCAAGCAAAGGAGAAAACAGGAAAAAAATAATAATAATTAAAAACTGTTTGACTGACTAGCAGAAGTTAGCACAACAATATGTTGTGCTAATAATATGTTTGCATTTGTAATTCTAATTTATACAATTTTAAAGTATATTAAACCAGAATCATTTAAAATTGTAAAAATTAAAATAATTATTGTAACAAAACAATAATAATTTGGTGTAAAAGCACCTGATTCTTCTCAATACATGAGGCTTCTTTGTTGTTCCATTTGCTGTAGAAATAAATGTTGTTAAAGGGTTTTTTGCCCTTCATGCCGTGACCCAGATCAACCACCTATGAAAAAAAGATGAAAGAAAGAGTTAATTTGTGAGAATATTGGGGCAGGTGTGAAGTGTTTGCAATGTAACTTACATAAACTGAGAAATCATCAGCCTTCTGAGAAACTGGAGAGTCAGTAGGTATGTACGTCTTTACTGCCTTCTTCCATGTTTCTGTCAGCTTTTCCTGCATTTTCTGATTTGAGAAAGTTAGGGGTTAGTCAGATATTAATTGTGACTCAAATGCAGAAAACGTTCACAAAATAAGCAGTGTGAGGAACAGGTAGCAGTAAATCTTAGCCAAGGAGGGTTTTTCATGCGACTGCTTTGATCCAGCATTGCTGGATGCCATGAATGTGCTGAATCGTATTATTCAGATATTATATAAATAATGATTAAAATCAAAGAGTTCTATACTTTCCATACCATTCATTACTATAAGAACATTACTATAAGAACTTACTGCTTTGGTGCTTTTTTGGTCAGGACTCATCTGCCAAGTCGATACAAAAAAAATAAAAAATAAAAAAATGTGATGAGTACAGATCATGTTCTTATGGACCCCTCAAAAAGGCAGATGATTATATATGAACACTATAGCATAACTAAAACAGTAAAACCATTTGAATCCAGGACTGGCCTACCTTTGATTTGTTTTCATCCATTAATCGAGCTTCTCCCACAAACTTTGGCAGTTCTCTGTTGATAATCTTGTTCAAGATATCTCGAGATTCCTTCAGGTTTTCAGACGTGGAGGACAAGATCTGCCCAAAGATCTCATCTGATGGAGGAGAGAGATGAGTATTCTAATTAAACTTTTCTTTTTTTGATAACCATTTGAATAAAGTCTACTCATGTAATAAGGAAACAATAAATCCAAGAACATATTAAAGAGATGATGTGTACAGCACTAAACACAAAACTAGTGACATGCTTATTCAAGAGAACTATATAGTAATTAGATAATTAGAACTATATTTATAAAAAATAAAAATAAAAAAAAGTTTCAACTCTCTCAGTTTCAACTTTCTTTCTTTCACCTAACCTGTGAGCTTGGTGTATTCCTCAGCATCGTGTATGGCTTCAGAAATTGTGAACATATCCTCTGGTTTGTCTTTATGAAGGTCACGGTCAGCTTTTATGAGGGCTTTTGTGAACCTAATATACAACAAAATAAATCAATATACCAACATATCAATAAATCAATATTTCAAGCAGGTGTGAATAAAAGAAACAATTCGACTAATAATGCCTGATGTTGAACTCTAAAAGGGTTTTTACAGTGAGAGTTATTTTCAGAAACAAAGTAAACTGCAGTCAAACTGAAGTTGAACAGTTTAACTCACATTAAGATCACATTATCTGCCTCCTAATACAGGATGCTGCAGTTGAGTAACCACACCTGCTAGCAACACCAATTACTTCAGTCATTTAATCACTTTACTAACTACTGTATATAAGTAAGGGATAATGTTTTGCGTCGGGGTCCTGATCACCCTGTGGGGGCTTATTCTGCGGTGACAACCGGCTGGATGTACATATCCCTTACATAGCATACCTGGGAATGTCACGACTGACCAATCAGAATCAAGTATTCCACAGAGCAATAACAATGAAGATATACAACCATGCCATCTTCACTACTGTTTGGTATCAATTTGTTTTAAATCCACATCTTCTTAATGACAGAGAAACTCACATGTCTTCGATGATGTTGCAGATCTTGTGCTGATAGGCCTGGCGATGGAGAGTGTATCGGGTGCGAAACATGTCATAAACATTATCAGCCTCCTGTTAATAATAAAAACTATGAAGCATCAAACTGTAACAATATTGCAGTTATTGTTTGTCTGTTTGTCTCTTAGTGATAGTTCACTCATGTTGATTTTTCCGTGTTTTTGTTTTGTTCTTTAGTTCTCCTATTGCTGATTGTATGAATTAGTGATATGTCATTTATGAACAATTAGAATCCTTTTGTCTGTGTTTGCCCAAGATTATTATTATTTTTTTAATGAAATCAGACAGGTTTATAATCGTTGCTATACTTTGGATAATAGATCATTTTACTGACTTCTTTGAAACTCATTAAAAAAAAAAAACAAGTAAATAAATAAATAATAAATAGTTTGTTTTCATAAGTCATTTTGTTCATTTGAGCAGAGTTAAAATTCATCTGTCTTGGTTCAGAATTATATATGTGAAATACTTGGTGCAAATCAACAAAGCCGTCTCATTCACAAATCCCTGTTATACATGCTAAATCTAGAGGCCAATGTAAGTAAAGCAGTCCACTGAGAATTGTATTAGATGCTTTTAAATGTAGCAGTGTTTCATTACTCAGCTGGCTGCTGGTCAGGTCAGATAACAATACCTACGGCATTTCTCTGATTACAGTGCAGATTACATTTTTGAACAGATGGGCCCAGGTTAAAGATGTGTAGGTAAATCTTGAATTGTTTCAGCACACTTTGGAAGTGCTACATGTGTTTTAATAAATAATTGAATCAGGCACCTTGTCTCTGAAGCAGATGTGATTTCTCCCGTTCACTTTACAGACTCGAGCAAACTTCAGGAGACGCTGATGATCAAAACTGTTTCGGATGCCGAGGTGATGACAGTCTCTACGCAGTAACAAAAAAAATAAAAAATCAGCACATATAAATGATTAAAGACAGGAACTCTTTACTTATACTAATCAGATTCTTACCGTGCGAAATAGTCCCATCTGTCCACATCAATGTTGTTCTGTTTATTTGCCACGATCTCATACAGGAAGGATTTGTCTTCATCTCTGGCCTCGTATGTCCACTGAACAGAAGAGTGATTCAGACTTCATTATACTGAACTGTCGACTTTATTAACACACCATAAACAGCTGGAGTATCAATTTATACCTCTGAGGTTTCTGCCCCTTCGATTAACTCTTTAATGAAGATCACATCTTTATCATCCAGTCCATGTTCTTTCAACACGTCTTCATTCTCAGCCTTCAGACGCTTCACAATGTCATCGAACATCTGAACTGACATCTGCTCGTGCTGCAGTAAAGACACAAAGACAGATTAAGCCATAAATTCATACAGTACATATTCATTGCTGAGCTGAAATTAGTTCCTATTTGTTGTTCACCAATTAGTGTTGAATATATCTCTGAGTTTGTCACTGTCTCTTGCTATGTTTTTGTGTTACGTTTAACCTTGTTTGGTTAGTTTCTGTGTTCTTTCATAGCTATTTTTATAATCATATTACTTTTTTGCAATGTTGGGTCATATATACAGGTGCATCTCAATAAATTAGAATGTCGTGGAAAAGTTCATTTATTTCAGTAATTCAACTCAAATTGTGAAACTCGTGTATTAAATAAATTAAATGCACACAGACTGAACTAGTTTAAGTCTTTGGTTGTTTTAATTGTGATGATTTTGGCTCACATTTAACAAAAACCCACCAATTCACTATCTCAACAAATTAGAATACTTCATAAAACACAGTGGACCAACACCAGCAGATGACATTGCAGCCCAAATCATCACTATATATATATATATATATATATATATATATATATATATATATATATATATATATATATATATATATACACACACAATTATAAAACACAATATGGTTGCTAACCCCTGTCGTAAAGAATGTTCTCACCTTCCATTCTTTTTTTTCTTTCATTCTGTCATCAGACAAGCCTAAGAAAAAGAAGCAGCTCTCAGATGGTTTGTAAGTCATATTTTGTACATTAACAAACTCTTTCTGGTTCATTTACCAGCCGTGCACATACAACAGCTGGAGCTGTGCATGTGCAAATGTAACAATTACATGAGTAAGAAATTTGCATGCGAGACTCTTCTGATTAGATTTCTTTTCACACACACAGACACACACACACACACACACCTTTCAGTTGTTTTTCTTTTACGGCTTCAGGGATAAACAGACTATCAAAAACATGAGAAAGTGGGCCATGACCTAAAAGTAAAAATAAAAATAACATTTATACAGAATCATGATTCCGGGGGAGCTTAGACGCATGAAAAACACAAACAATATTTTCTAGAAGTGAAACTAGTAAAGACAAAAATCTTCTTTTTTTAAAATATATATTTTTCTTTTTTTTCTGCAGAAATAGTACATTTGAAAAATGTTTAAAATCATTAACATGAGTTTCCAGTATTGGTAACCAAATAAAAACCTTTTATAAGGAGAGTAAAAGTAACTAAATGTTTTTGTCTCTTTTTAATAAAGCTGCTCCGTTATTTTGACTCTCCATAAGCTTTAGTGCTCCTCACCCAAGTCGTGACACAGACCAGCGATCTGAACACACAGGAAATCCTGTTTGGTGATCTTGAGCTCGGGCTGATTGTCATGAAGAACCTTCACCAGACAACCTGCTAAATACGCCACACTAACACACACACACACACACAAGATATTAATGTACAGATCTGATTATTTGACCAAATCTGATTTATTTTATTCCACCTGTTTACATAAGACCAGTGTTTGGGGTAAAATCATTAAACATAGCATGAGTTACGTAATCAGATTACTTTTTTCCAAGTAACTAGTGAAGTAACTGTGTGAACGGTGCGTGCTGTGTGAACATGATGTTACTGTAGTTCTAGACTAAATGTGAACATGCGTTTACTCATCTCACTCACAAAAACAGATTCAGTGTTCCTCAAAATGAATAAAACTGTGAAATGCAAACTCAGAATATGATGCAAACCTGCAATAATAAAATGTTAATTAACACAAATATCCTTTATATTTATCCTTTGTATTTAATCCCATTTTATTAACGAATGTCTTTACTGCTGACCTTTGATGATCCAATTCAACCATACTAATAAGCAAAAATGACTTTAGACAAACATGACATTTGTGTGTTGAACTTTCTTCTCCTGCGTCATGGCAGCATAGCTGAAAGGTTTGTTTTGACTGCGTCCTCTACTGTACAGATATGCATTTACATTTCCTTCAGCCTGAGGCTTATTCATTTCATTTTACATTTGTCATCACTTTTTTTTTGTGAAAGGGCTTTCATATATATGACAAAAATAGAATATTTAATATTAAGCAAGCAGATGTAAAATAACACATTACTTTCCATAAAAAGTATCTAAGTAATGCAATTAGTTGCTTTTTAGAGAGTAACACAATAATCTAAAAGTAACTTCCCCAACACTGCTTAAGACACAAACTCTTGTTAGATACAAGTCTGTAATCTGTGTTTACATTATTCTCCCATCCAGATTAGAATGATTCAGTTGGTAACTGCTTTTGCTATGAGCGTCATGGTTGATCCTTGAATTTTAAATGGCCTCATGCTATTTCATATTTTCAAAATGTAGGTGAAAAAATAAATAAAAATACTATTGCCATAGTAAGCATGGCTTTAATGATTTTAGTCTGATGAGGAGTGAGCTGAGACCTAGAAGTCTGGAGAAGACGTCAACCATGGTGTTTATAGTAAAAGCAATTACCAATTGAATTATTATAATTTGGGCAGGAGATTAATGTAAACACAGATTACAGACTCTCACCAATACAAGTCTATTGTGTAATAGGTGGGGGGGGGGGGGAAAAATCTGAAACAG